AAAAATGACATTCCGCAAGGCCTACTCCATCAAAGACAAGCTGCAGGCAATCGAGCGTGTCAAGGGTGGTGAGCGGCAAGCCAGCGTGTGCCGCGACTTCGGCGTACCGGGCGGCACGCTGCGCGGCTGGCTCAAGGACGAGCCCAAGCTGCGTTGGTTTCTGGACCAGCTTGGTGGAGAGGTGGGCACGCAGCGCAAGAAGATGCGTCTAGCCAACGAGGAGGAGATCGACCGCGCCGTGTACTCGTGGTTCCTCACCTTGCGCCAGCACGGTGTGCCGCTGTCCGGTCCGGTCATCCAAGCGCAGGCCGAGGCCTTTGCTCGCCAGATCTATGGCCCCGAGTGTACCTTCAAGGCTAGCCATGGGTGGTTCTGGCGCTGGCAGAAGCGCCACGGCATCTCCAGTCAGCGCATCTATGGCGAGGCTGAGCCCCCGGTTGCAGGCCCTGCGCCTGTCAAAGAAGAGCCTGCGCAGACACCCGGCGCAGTTCTCCTACCTGACCGTGCGCTGACCATTCTACCCCACTCCGAGGGCGGCTATGATGACGAACAGATCTACAACGCAAACGTTACTGGTCTCTACTGGAGGTTACTTCCGGAGCAGGCCGCAACTCAGGGCGCTGGGAACTCCAGCGGGCCTAGTGGGTGCACCCAGCGCTGGCCCGGTGACCGAGTGACAGTGCTGTTGGCCGCCAACCTGACCGGCAGTCACAAATTGAAGCCACTAGTTATCGGGAGGCTACCAGACCCACCCAGCTTGCGTCACCACAACCAGGACAAGTTCCCTGCCTCTTACCGCTATAGTCCAGATGCCTGGCTCAGTCGCCCTCTTCTTCGGGGCTGGTTCTTTGAGGAATTTGTCCCTGGCGTCAAACGCTTCCTGCGCCGAAGCTGTCTACAACAGAAGGCGGTGTTGCTGGTGGCCCATCCACCTTGTCCAAGCTGGGGCGCTAGGATGCCTGCCCTGGAGGAGAGTGAGGAGACTCCTAGGCAGTGCCAGCCTGATCTCTTTGGGTCCCCAGAGGAGCTGCAGACACCTGATGGTGCAGTTCGAGTGCTCTTCTTGTCCAAGGGCAACAGCCGAGCACACATCCCTGCACCATTGGAGCATGGTGTGGTGGCAGCCTTCAAACATTTGTACAAACGAGAGCTGCTGAGGCTTGCTGTGTCTTGTGCCAGTGGCTCCCCACTGGACTTCATGAGAAGCTTCATGCTCAAGGATATGCTATACCTGGCTGGCCTCTCTTGGGACCTGGTGCAGGCAGGCAGCATAGAGCGCTGCTGGCTGCTGGGTCTTCGGGCTGCCTTTGAGCCTGGGCAGCTGCCAGCCCACCAGGTAGAGGAGGCTGCTGAACACAGCAGGGTGCTCAGTGACCTCACACATCTGGCAACTCTGGTTTACAAGCGCTTGGCACCTGAAGAGGTGGCAGAGTGGCTGCACCTGGATGATGATGGAGGTCTCCCTGAGGGCTGCAGAGAGGAGGTGGTCCCTGCAACTCCTCCATCCCCAGCCAGCCTGCCCTCTAGCATGGGGGCTGGAGAGGAGGAGGAAGAGGCCACTGAGCAAGGAGCAATGTTGGTACCTACTGCTGGGGAAGCTGTTTGGGGTCTAGAGACAGCTCTGAGGTGGCTGGAGAGCCAGGATCCTAGAGAAGTGGCTCCACTGAGGCTAGTGCAGCTACGTTCCCTCATTACCATGGCACGGAGGCTTGGAGGCATTGGGCCCTCACCAGCAGCTCCTCACGATGGTGTGTGACTACTGTGGCCCACTGGCCTTTTTCCTGCTGCACTGGGAGAGAGGGGGCATACACAGTCTGCCATCTTCCACCTTTTCTCCATGGTATAGTCCTCTGTAGAGGTCCAGGGGTGCAAGCCCAACACCAATGTGGAGTTCTGTTGGTAAAGGATGTCCTGCCCCGTGAGCCACAACGCCTTGGGGAAATGGCTCAAAGAAGCAAATGCTCTTTGCTGAGTAGGCACACGTGGGCCCATAAGCACAGCACCTACTGGGGAACAGTTGACTGTACCTCCATTGCGGCCCCTATGGGGTTTATCCCTACCCCTACCCCCATGTGCACTGGATGAGGCTGCTGCTTCTGTTTCACCTGCCTCCCTGGTGCTACCTGGCCTCATCTCAGTGGAAAAGCACTTGGTTTTGTTTTAAAAACAAACAAAAATACATTAAACCTGTTTTAAAAGATGCTCTTCATAGGGAACCAGGAGTGCTGGCAGAGTGAGATGGTCTCTGGGCTCTCTTGCTCTTGCTCTGGTAACTGAAGGCCCTTGTGGTGCTGGATCCAAGCCCAGTGTAGGCCCCAGTGCCTTAGCCTGGGGTGGTATATTCACAAGAGAGTGGGAATTGGGGAAATGGAAGCCTAGTGCTTGGTGAGGTTTTGGATGCAGCGGAGTATAGCAGAGTCTGTTCTACTTGGATTTTTAGTCCTTAAAAAAAACTTCATTCTGGATAGATCTCCTGTTCATGATGTTGGCTAGTGTGTGGATTTGGATCCAGGTGGCTTGACCAATGGCAGGACAAACCACAAACCACTTTGTCTAGCTCTAGGGCTATCTGATCTACCTGAAAACAGGTCACATAGCCTTTGCAACCATCTGGGAACTCTGCAGTGCCTTAGAGTCAACTCCTCCCTCCATGGGCTCTTCTGGCACCAACCTTCCCCCTAGACTCATCTGCTTCCTGGTATTTCCAGGGGTGTTGCTGAGGAACTATTGCTGGATGGCCCAGGTTGAAGGAGAAAAGACTCAAAGGAATGTCCCAATTCTGAGTCACTCTGTTTTCAGTCCAACTGGATTCAGATTGCTCCTGGGGATCTAGAGCTGAGGCATCTGTGTCTTAGGGAGGGTCAATACTACCCTTGCAGAAGTATTATCCCGAGTCCTTGTCCTAGTACTCTCCCCTTATCTCTACTTCTCTCCTCATAGTCTGAGCCTTGAAAACACCAAGTGGGGAAGGGCAAAGAACACAAGAGCTTGGCAATGGATGGCGCCTTGGATGAGGTACCCACAAGTGATCTCCATGTTAAGTCCAAGAATACAGTTCTTGGAACCACATGACACCTCAGTCAAAAATCTGAGTAAATATTAAGAGCTGAAGGGAAACATGGAACAGGAGAATGGAGGCTCAGGTAGCAGACTCCATCTGTACACGCTGGTGCTCATCTGGTCATCTATGTACCTGGCTTCCTCAAGCCTAAAGACCTAGAGAACCCTTGGGCAAACATGTCTGGTCGAGGGTCTCCAGCACTAGCAATTTAGGTGGGGTTTTAGAAGTCTGATGTATTTATACCAGCCTCCTCCATATCAGCCAGGTACTTAGGCTAGGAGCTGCCATCAGGCATTGATAGACCTGCTTCCAAGTCTGGAGAGGCAGACCTGCCTAGGCCTTGGATTTACATCAAGCCTGGGTAGCCTCTAGTAGCCGCTCCAGCCTAGGCTACCTGTTGGAGAGGTTTCCATAGGTTTCTGTCTTTGTCCTTTGTATTGTGTTTCCTCCTTTGGCCTGTGCCCAGGTAGACTGGAGTTGACAGAGACTAGGGCTCAGGAGTGAGAGCTCTCACCAGCCTCTCTAGCTGTCCAAGCCCCTTTCACCTGGGGATACAAGGTCCAGGAGGTTGCTATGGCCCCATATTGCTGCTGCCCTATATAAACGGTCAAGTGTGGGCCGAGTGGATCACAGAGAGTTCCTGTCAGGTTTGTGTCTGTATACTATCATTAACTGGGCTAGGAAAACGTCCATGAGAAGTTGCAAAGGTGTCATCTCAGGCTAGGGATGCTAGGGTGTTTGCTAGAATGCCCAAGGCCCTGTGTTCAAACAACAGCATGATTTAAAACAAATTATTATTTTTTTTTAGACTAGAATATGCTGGTGTTCTTTACATGCTATAGACAGAGGTTCTGGTGGCTGAGTCCTAGTTGTGGAAGAGGCTGCTTTGCTCAGGTGCCCATATGTCCCAGCAGTAGGTCCTATAATTCTGGGGCTTGCAGTACTGCATATCCTGTTACACAGGGGCCTCTGCCCCAGTGGCAGCTGGGTCAAGATGTGCAGTCACCTCATCTTTCTGTACTTAGTGTCTGATGGGGTTCCCTAGGGGTTCACAGGCCCGTGAGGAGAGCCTTATATTTTCACTGTGTTGCTCCACTGCTCCCTGAGTTGTATGAACTAGTAAGGAGAGTGAAAATGCAGTTCCTTTCTTCAGTAGCATTGCCACCTGCTATGTACCAGGCATCATGCAGGAATCCTGGATCTCTTGCCCCAGAGGTTTGCCTGTTCCCCACAAAGTGTAGGATCTTTTGGCCTGGGAAGTATAGGCAACCTTTTCTGCTAAGTAGTCTTGCCCTGGATTCATAAACAGATTGGAGAAGATACCCAGCACAGAAAGATGGGTGAGTGTGTGTCCTGTTGGAACCACCACCACCACCACCACTCTTGGGGGCTGGGAGCTTGCAGTGGTCACAGGTAGCCTTGTCCCCAAGGTCCATGTACTTGGAAAATGAAAGCAACAGAGCTATAGGGGAATCAAGATGGTATGAGAGGAGGGAGCACCTCCAGCTAGAAGGTTGGTCATCTGAAGACTGAGCCCTTTACACTACCTCATTAGGACTGCCAATGGGACGCCAAGCTGGAACCTGGTACAGTCTAGCCTCTTCTAATGTGCCTACAAGAGCATCTTGACCGCATCAGCTGTCCTCAATAGGATCTTTGGCTTGTGGGTTTCATACCTTATTGTAGGGCCCTTTCTCTGACACTCAACCTTGTCACAGCTAAGTTCACCTGGCCAGATGGTCTAATGGCACTTGTGTAATAAAGGTGAAACAGGTCAACCTCATCAGCCATCCTGTTTTAGTCTTATTTTTGTGACTGAATCTAATGCTTGGATCTGGAACACTCCATAGGATGTGGGAGGAGGAGGGCATAAAAGTGGGACAATATGGACTACAGAGAATACCATGGCATCTACCAGTTTTTATTACAGAAAGCAGTGGCTAGGTGAGCCACATACAATATGAGGAGGCCTAGATGATACTGTCACAGCTGTATGGCCCCAAAGCTATCTCTTTGAGTAGCCAACAGCCTGTGTCCCAGCCTGTCACCTCTGGACCAAGACTGAGCAATGAAGGGGTGTGTTCCACTTCCCAGTCCTGGTCCAAAGAGAAATGTCTGTTGGTTCACCATCAGTGATTCTCTTGGCAGGTAGGCTGCCCAAGGACAGTGCCTTATACCAGACCCTGGGACTTTATCTCACCTAGACTCTGCAGGCAAGTGACCCTGCAGCTGAGATGGAATCCTCTGCTGTCTGTATCGCTTGTCTTCTCATTTTCATTGGTCAGCTCACTCAGTACTTTGGATAAACACAACAGCTGAGCTGTTTTTCTATAAATCCTTACAAGTGAGGAAATAAGGGCATGGACTCGACTCAGGATGGTCTTTCTTTCTTTCTTTCTTTCTTTCTTTCTTTCTTTCTTTTTTTCCCTCGAGACAGGGTTTCTCTGTGTGGCTTTGGAGCCTGTCCTGGCACTCGCTCTGGAGACCAGGCTGGCCTCGAACTCACAGAGATCCACCTGCCTTTGCCTCCCCAGCGCTGGGATTAAAGGCGTGCACCACCAACGCCCGGCCAGGATGGCCTTTCTAACAAGTGACAATGCCAGAGTCTAATCAGATAGCCCTTGGCTGAGAGGAGTCATTCACTAGAAATGGGATGAGTTGGGGACATACAAGGCAAGGAGCTGAGAGAAGGAAGGGTTGCAGTGTTGGAGTAAAGGGACTGGGATGGGACCCCCTCTTCCTGTCTGGGTACACCATTAGTCCTGCATTATAGACAGGGATCTGGTATCACACAGCTAGCAGATGCCACTGTGGGAGCTGCTCCAAGCCACACTGATGGATGCTTTCAAGTCTCAGGAGACTGCTGGGTAAACATGAGGGAGTCAGCATCTTGGGGTCTAGGTGGCCAGGAAAGTTTTGGGGAGGAGGGTACCTGGGGTGAGGGTCAGAGCCATATCGAGTCCTTTCTATGCAGTAACCTTGGTGCACAGGTCCTCAATCCCATAGCCTCACTTTTCCTAGTTTTCCTGACCGCTGGATATACTACAAAGTCAAATCCTACCGGGGTTGTCCCTGTAGTTGTTGTACCAGGCTCAAGCAATACCAGCCTCAGAGCCAGGGGTCTAGTCTTTCAAAGCTAGCTAGGACCCACTTTTGAAACTTCAAACAGCTCTTCCACTTGACTGGTGTAACCTGAACACAGGGCAAATTGGACAGCATAGGTCTGCAGCATGACACGCTGACTGCTCAGGGAAGGTGGGTTCTACTGGGGACTCATTCCTCCTCTAGGCTAAAGCTCTGGCTTCATGGAGAGGTGGGAGCTTCTTGGGCAAGTGCCATCTATCCCTGCGTCATTCCCACCCCTATCCTCCACTAGCATGGCCACTAGCTTGTGAGCAATTCAGAGAAGGGTCAGGGCTCTAGACCAGGCTCAGTAGCTCTTGTTGCTAGCAGCTTTGTCATGGATTCCAACCCCTACACCCCCCAAAAAAAGAAACAGGCCAACTTTTAGGCACCTGAGAACCAACATTGCCTATTATGTCTCTCTTTTTTAAGATTTTTATTATGTATACAATGTTCTGCCTGCAGGCCGGAAGAGGGCACCAGATCTCATTACAGATGGTTGTGAGTCACCATGTGGTTGCTGGGAATTGAACTCAGGACCTCTAGAAGAGCAGTCAGTGCTCTTAACCTCTGAGCCATCTCTCCAGCCCCTATTACGTCTCTTTAGAAGTAGGATTATTGCTACTGGGGTTGGGGGTGGGGTGGCGAGGAGGCCTGTAGAGATGGACTCTTCTCCAAGTGTAGACGAAGTGGAAGCATTTGTGTGATGGCCAGAGAACCATTGTCCTTAGAGGTGGGAGAAGGGGAAGGTGGGGTTACCTTGGGCAAGCAAGGAGGCTGACACCCAGTGTTGTAGCTCCTTTCCCCGAGGAAATATAAACATCTACCCTCTCCTTATAGGGTACGAAGGACAAACCAAAGTACAAAAAAATCTCCACTGAAGTCCAACTTGGGGAACCAATGAGTTTATTGGGCTTACAGAGCATGGGTGGGTGTTGCTTTCAGGACTGTGGGTGACCCCAAAGCAGCCACACCATGAAAACACCTCATGCCAGCATGGATGATGATGTCCCCCATGTCTGCAAAGACGGAAACCTTTCCTGCTTCAGTTAATCTTCCACAGGCTACATACTCTACCACCTCCTGAGACCATGAGGCAATGTGCAATTGGAACACAATTACAACTGGCTGAGAGGTGGAGGAGGGAGGAGCTGGAATCACAGATGAGGATCAAATGACTCAGCATCCCCTGCTTCCTTCACTGAATGTCTTATAGTCTTATAGTCTCACTTGGAACCTGGCTTACTTCTTGCTGAGTTCCTTAGCCCGGCAGGTAGCCGCTTCCACTGCACTCATGGCAGCTGCTCGAAGACCCCCCTGCTCTAGGGCGTGAAGTCCATGGATGGTGGTTCCAGCTGGTGTGAGCACATCAGTCCGAAGCTGGGCTGGGTGCTTCCCTTCCTGCTGCAGCATCTTGGCAGTTCCCTGGAGAGAAGAGTTAAGGAAGAGTTGAGAGAGGTGGGGCAGCTACATGTTTCCCCAGCCTGTCTGGACTTTGCAGGCTTGTCTTCCTGTTTGCTGGACAGTTAAGGAAGAGTTGAGAGAGGTGGGGCAGCTACATGTTTCCCCAGCCTTTGCAGGCTTGTCTTCCTGTTTGCTGGAGACAGCACACACTCGAAACTTCCCAACATTCTCCTGAGGAATCCTGAACTCACCAGCAGAGTCTGGGCAGCAATGCGGTGGGCCAGGCCACTGGGCATGCCCATCTTGATGGCACCTTCAGCCAGGGCCTCTGAGAATGTGCACACCTGTAGCAATAGCATTGGGAGTCAGGAGGGGGAATGTCAAAGCTGACATTTTGCTGGACACAGCTCCCAGCTAGAGAATACCCCGAACAGCAGTTCTCAACCTGTGGGTCGTGACCCCTTTGGAAGTTGACTAACCCTTTCACAGGGGTCACCTAAAACCACCAGAAAACACAGATATTTACATTACAATTCATAATGGTAGCAAAATTAATTATGAAGTAGCAACAAAAATCATTCTATGGTTGAAGTCACCACAACATGAACTATATTAAAGGGTCGCTGAATTCAGAAGGCTGAGGATCACTGGCTCAGAACCACAAGAAACCAGACCCTGGATGTGGTCACAATACCTGAAGCTATAGGGCCTAAACCCAGAGTTTGGTAAAGTGACCAGCCTCGATGGCTCAACAAAGGGTGATGTTCTGAGAGGCAGCAGAACTCACTGGTAGCCCATGAATTACTTGACTGTGAGACCTTGAGAGCAAGGCCTTTGCTAAGTTAAGGTTTCCTCTGAGGGTATGGGTTAAGACAATACTCACAAAGGCCACACCACTGCCACTGAGGCCAGTATGGATATCTACATAGGACTCAGGAACCTCTATGCACTGTCCACAGGCCTCCAGCAAGTTCTGTAGGAGCTCAGCGTCGTCATTCCCAGCATGGTGGCCCCGTGCCATCACCATGGCCCCCTCCTGAACTATGCAAGGTAGATTGGGAGAGACTCGCAACACTCTTGTTTTCGGGGGCAGCAGCTGGACAAAAGGGAGCTTAGTTAATGTCAAACACCCTATAAGACTAGGTAAACACCTCAGTTAAATGCAGCCTCTAGTTCCCACTTCCCAGGCACAGTGGCCAAACACTATCCCAGTCAGCTAACCCTGGCCAACTACTTATAGAGGTTGTCTGGGATGCTGCTACCTGCTTACTGAATGTAGCCAACACCAACAAAGCCTGTTTCATAGTTAAGGCCTTGTTCACACCATAGCCCACTCACCTCCTCCAGAGAACTCAGAGACACCCCAGCAGCCACAGACACCACAATGTGCTCAGTGGTGACTACAGGAGCCACTTCTGCCAGAACATCTGGCAGAACTTGAGGCTTGGTGGCAAAGATGATAAGTGAGCAGTTCTGCAGCACTTCCTGGTTGGAGTGAGTAGTCTGACAACCCAGAGCCTGCATAGACACCAGGACCAGAAATGAGGCTGTGTGAGGAGGCATCCCACAACCCACCTGTGTACCACCAATCCTTCTGCATCCCATGGGTTCCCTCAGGCCTCTGTTGTTACAAATGCCTGTATTAAGAAAAATCCAGGCCCTGCTACTCACAGACCCAAGATTTACCTTCTAGAACCTTCCTAATTAGTATTCACAACCACCCTATATAGGCACACATTCAATCTGCTCTGGTCTTCCAAAAGCTTGACTTTCTTCCTGGCCTTTGACCTTTCCTTCTCCAGGACAAAGCAAATGATCTCAAACCTCCAGCCATACCAGACTCTGAAAAATGCTTCAGAAGGACAAGACCCTAAGTCCCACTCACCCTGAAGTGACAGAGATTCCTGTCTGTTGGTGCACTGGCCAGCACTTGCTTAGCTTCCACTTTGCCTGGATAGAAAGGCAAAAGCTGGTAAGGGCTGGGAAGACAGGAAACAGCTTGCTTGGCCCACTGTTAGCCTAAGGCTCCATAGGGTCATAGCGGGGATGCTTGTCCTCGGTGCTGAGCAATCAAGTTAATTCAATTATACTTTAATGCCACTGCCATCTCTGCTGTTGGACACTGGGGCCAAGAACCTGCCTAATCCTGACAAGACAGAGCCCAGGCCCTCTGCTTTCACAGAAGGGGCAACTGACTGAAGCACTTATGTCTGTTCGCCAAAATGCAAAAATCTCTGCAGGAACACCAGGCCTGGAGTGGCATGGTGGATAGGGAAATAGCTGGTGAAGGGTCTAGAGAGATGGTTCAGTAGGGTGGGCAGATGACTGCTAAAGGGTCTGGAGAGACCGCTCGACAGTTGAGAGTACTTGCTGCTCTGACATATGATCTGGGATAAATTCCCAGGACAACCGTCCATAACTCCACCTCCAGTGGAACCAGTGAGCTTCCCTAGCCTCTGCAGGTACCAAGTACACACACACACACACACACACACACACACACACACACACACACACACTGCACAAACAGACAAAACACTCACACATATAATCTTTTTTTTAAAATAACCTATCTGATAAAGACTTGATGGGACAACTCTCTTGCAACAGGGCAAGTGTGCTGGAATGTCTTGGGGGAGACTGTACATTTGGTGGAAATCATGTTTTTGTAGGGTATAGAGGTAGAGAGACTGGGCCAGACGGAAGTACAAACTACGACCTAAACATAGAGGCAGCTAATCACGTCAGTGACAGCTGGTAAACAACTGCCGGGTTTTTCATATAAACACCTGAGACTTCTTGTAGGAAGACAATCTCTAATGATCAGGACCCTCTGGACTTTGAAGTACAACCGATAGCAGACAGCCAAAGGTCACCAACTTTCTCCACCTGCAATCTATATGTAAAGTTTCCTAAACGCTGTATAGCAGTTAGGCCCATATTGACAGCCCCTGTTATATAACAGCAGTCCTCACCCAGGAAGAGTTTGCCTCCTTCCTCAGCCCACCCTCCAGCTCCCAGGCAGCAGACAAATGGCACTGGCATCAAGAGATGACAAACCAGTGATGGCAGACACTCTTCAGTACGTAGTCAATCCTCTTCTTCCCAAATGTTCACACAACTGGCCACCTCTGAGAGTAGAGATGGTGCAAGAATAGAAAACAAAAAGAGGTGCAGGAGGAGGAGGCCAGGAAGTTGGACACTAACTTGGCATTAAGCCAGTCCAATCTAAGACAAAATTGGTTTGTGCCACACGTGGAACGATAAAATCACAGCCACAGTTAGGAGAAATAAGAAGTCAAAAGTGAGTCTGATAAAAATCACAGCCACATTAAGGAAGAAGTCAAAAGTGAGCCTGCCAGTGGTGGCTCATGCAGCACTCAGGCAGACAGAGCTCTGAGTTCAGGGCCAGCCTGGTCTACCAAGAGAATTCCATGATAGCTAGGGCGACACAGAGAAACCCTGTCTTGAAAAAACAAAAACCAACCAAACAAGCAAAACCCATACAAAGAGGTTACAATGAAAGTTAATGGTAATTTTCTTTAATTCAATACATTTAAACGAATATCATTCAACAATACAATCATTGTTAAATAAAATAAGCTGTGTTACTTTTCTCCACACCACGCCTGGCTCGCACACCCACCCTCCTGAACAAGAGCTGTCGTCGGCTCACCTAGGGAACCAGGAGACCTTGATGGAAGCCTGCTGTAGGGTTCTCACCCAGAAATGGGGCGAACCATTTGCGCCGCTCCCGCCGAGGCTAAAGGACTCCTCCCACTGTAAAGCCCCCCAACCAGGCCTCGCCTCCCCACCTGCTCGAATGAGGCCTTGGGCGATGCCACTTGCTATTTTGCTGAGGGTAGAGAGGAAAGATGAAGTCCTAAACAGGCAGTCTGATTCGACCTGGAAAATCCGAAGCTGGAGTCTCCCCAAAAGCCTTGCAAAGAGAATCGGAGGAAAAGCTCCAACCATGGTTCTAGGAGTGTACGGTGGTACAACAAACTGGTACATCTCTTTCCTAGCTTGTGTGCCTTGGGCTCGATCCTGGGTGCCGTTTCTGGTACTCGAGGTTAAAGGAAGCACTAACTAATAAGTCACCAATAAACAGCTGTTATTGTTTGTTTTTCCAGACAGTGTTTCTCTGTGTTCTCTGTTTAATAGTCTCGGCAGTCCTGGAACTCACTTTGTAGACCAGCCCTCAAACTCACAGATCTGCCTGCCTTTGCCCCCGAAGTACTGGGATTGAAGTCATTCACCATCGCTGCCCTGTTGATCAAATGGGAAGGTATAGTAGAAAGTGAGAGTATCAAGAAAATAGAACATACATACATACATACATACATACATACATACATACATACACACACGATTGTTTTGTTTCTCTGTATTGTTTTGGAGCCTATCCTGGCACTCGCTCTGGGGACCAGGCTGCCCTCGAACTCACAGAGATCCACCTGCT